TATGTGCTGAAGTTCTTGGCATGTAGACCAATAAAGATCGGCAGTGGTTGCAGAAACTGGTGTATAAAAAAAACCTACAGCAAATAAATGAACAATTATTGGTGGGGGTACAAGTCAAGCCTGGTGGCCCGCCAGGCTTACAAAACTCTGTGGGAAAGCCTGCTTCTTCAAGCACCTTGAACACATTCGTTTGTTGCATTTATAGAGAATGTAATTCCAGTCTCAGACACATCTGTCCATCAGTCTGACGTTTTGTCGCATTTAGAAACATTGACGTTTTTCTCTTTAAAGTTTTGGGACACCCGCTCGCCCAACCCCATGATGTCCCTGCAGATGCCCGAGAGATGCTACTGTGCCGACGTTGTAAGTCCGTTATAACCAGCATGAGGTCATTTCTAAAAGCTTCCTGGTGAGAGAACTGACTCACACTGTTGGACGTAGGTGTATCCCATGGCAGTGGTAGCCACAGCGGAAAGAGGCCTTATAGTGTACCAGTTAGAGAACCAGCCTTCTGAGTTTCGCAGAATAGACTCCCCTCTCAAACATCAGGTGAGCTGCTCTTTAACTCTGAGGTTTTAAAAATGTTGTAATGTTTTATTGTTATATTGTTCAGTGTTGTCTGTTTTTTGCTTTTTAGCACCGTTGTGTTGCCATATTTAAGGACAAGCAGAACAAGCCAACAGGCTTTGCACTGGGAAGCATCGAGGGCAGAGTGGCCATCCATTACATCAATCCGCCAAACCCGTGAGTTTTTGTAAAACACACAACACGTATACAAGCTTCCTGCTCCAAACCTAAAAAAAAAAAAAGACGACTTCACAGAATTCTCTAATCTTCTTTAGAGCCAAAGATAATTTCACCTTCAAGTGCCATAGGTCCAATGGAACCAACACAACCACTCCACAGGACATCTATGCTGTAAGTTGATCTTCTTGTATTAACACTATTAAAAGTTAGGGATGGGATACAGATTTTTTCCACTTTTTTATCCAAGTTTGGCAAAAGCAACTAGCACTGCACATCACCAGGAACACATCCTAACTATGGTGAAATACTGTGGTGGCAGCATCATGCTCTGGGGTTGCTTGTATTCAGCAGAGACAGTGAAGATGGATGGAAATCAGAGGATTTTGAATTTAAAACTGGGCCATGTTGTATTTTTCTTAATTAAAAAAAAAGAATTTAGTTGTTAATTTGCATCTTCTAATATTGTATACAAGAGGCTTGAGTGGTTAAATGAGAAAGCTCTAGAAAGTGCCAATTTTTTCCCTCCGCTTAATTGTCAGAACAATCGATTATTCCAATCGATCACTAAAATAATCATCAGTCGTTAACCTTACTCCACTCCTGTTTCTCCTGACCAGGTTAACGCCATCTCCTTCCATCCTGTCCATGGCACGCTGGCCACCGTGGGCTCCGACGGACGCTTCAGCTTCTGGGACAAAGACGCGCGCACCAAGCTGAAGACCTCCGAGCAGCTCGACCAGCCAATCACAGCTTGCTGCTTCAACCACAACGGCAACATCTTCGCGTACGCCTCGAGCTACGACTGGTCAAAGGTACGAGGTGCACAGTCGGTTCTTCACCTCTCTTTATCGTTTTACTTTAAAAAAAAATAAAAAATGAGTCTTGATCTTCTAGGGCCATGAGTACTACAACCCCCAGAAAAAGAACTACATCTTTCTGAGGAACGCCGCTGAGGAGCTGAAGCCTCGGAACAAGAAATGGTGAGAGAAGGGCAGCTGCTGTTACCGTGGAGACCGTGGTCAATGAATGGGGCTGCCCCATTTCCTGATTGCTCCTGTGGCTCTGGCTGTGGGCTCTCAAGGGCATGCATGAATGTGGGCAGTAAGGATACCGACATGATTTATTTATTTATTTATTTATTTATTTTTTAAATTCAGCCTCGCTCTGTAGCCACCCGGTTTGGTAAAAGCACTTGGCACTTTAAATATGTGATGTCGTTTGCTCCAAACATGTGTGTGTGCACAAACTACTCTTGTACTCAAACAAGGTTGTATGTAAAGGATGGAGCCTTCTGTCTTAGCTAAAGAGTCTAGCCTGTAAACATGAAGTATTTAATGTTAAGGAAGAGGTACTTAAAGATGTTATTTATTGGAATATTGAAGTTTAAAAATGAAATATATCCTAAATACAGAAAACCAAGCATATTTTGTAAGCGCTTTGCTTGTAGAATAGCCATTCTTCCTTTTGTTCAGAAATAAACGAGCGATAAAACAACCTCGCTGCTCTGTCACTGACTGCTACTTCCTGTCTCCAGATTCGTCGCGCCAAGTCGCACCTCTTGTGGAGAATTGCGGGAGACCTGCTGCTTTAGTGTGCGTGTATGCGTTCGAGACATGCTCCTTCCTTTCGACAGACGTCTGGACCAATGCCGTGGCTCCCTGGTGCCTTGCATGGACCAATCAGAGGGGCCAACCCATCTCGATGTTGCATGATAGTTGGCCTTTTTAAGTTTTTCGTAGAAGGGGAAGAGGGCTTTAATTTGATATTTGTCTTGATATTTTTTTAATGACTATTTCAGTGTGTCCAAGTTTGTTTGTTTGTTTGTTTGTTTGTTTTTTCCCCACAACTTCCAAAAAGTTTTCATTTTCTTGTAATTTTGCTGTTATTCCATTAAAGATATTGGGATGTAAAATAAATAAGTGCGCCCTCGTAGATTCCAACGTTGTGTTTGCGTTTCGACAAGACAGTCAACTGTGACCAAAAGGATCTCTGTATAAAGTTCTGTGCTCGTAGGCTGCAGAGCAAAGGTAATATTTTCGGACTTGACAAAGATCTCACCTCACGTTTTTGGATGCTAAATGTTTTAACTACTCCCTCCTATCTGCCTGTTTTACTCACAGTTAACCAGCAGGTGGAGTATTTTACCCCCGACAGTTTTAACTCGGCAGGACAAATGGGATCAAAGATGTGTGATGAAACTCTCCCATCCAGTTCCCCTGGATGGGTAGGAGGATTTCAGGAGGATATGAATGAGGTAGTTGGGGCTACTACAAAGGCCTTGTGTGAAGAGTGGACCAGATCTTAGAGGTAGAGGTGCGAGTTAAGTGTCTTTTTATAGAGGTCATTACAGCGTCGCCTCTTTGTCAGACTGACCCTAGGTAGTTAGCAGTAGACCTCCAAGGCAACGGTGGCGGGAAGGTTTAAAGCCACTACAGTTCCAATGTCCCCGCTACGCTTTCGGCGAACAATCTACACTTTAGCAGGTTCTGCAACATTTCAGCGAAGCTGCAATAAAATCCCTGCAGGTCTTGAAAGTCGGCTTGTGCTGCAGGATTAGCGTGTCTCTCTGGAGTTGGAAATGCAACAACTCTTGCACATGCAGAACAACCACCAAATGGATAGAGCACTAACTAACATGAGTTACAAGAAGCATTACTTTTCAGATTCTTTGGAATTTAAGCTTTAAGCTTTATGTTACGTTTATTGTGATGTGCCACACTACTAAAGTTGCAAAGGGCAATTTGCGTTCAAGACAATAGCAGTCCAATACCATTATGAACAGACTATAGTGTGTCTGTTTGTGGGAGACCTACCCAAGCAGTTTACTGAGGTATAGTGGAGTTATGATGCTGATTCTGTATAAATTAATCATTCATGCTTTGCTCAGACTAATAGTGTGGACTTCAGCCACCGTCATTCATCGTGACCCCATTTAAAAAATAAAGCAAACAGTTGTAGTGCAGTTTGAGTAAGATGGGTTGAATCTGGACACTGTTAAGGACAGCATGCTGTCATTGAAAGGTTTATGGGAGAGGGGAAAATGTAAAAAAAAAAAAATGGCAGAAGATGATATGATCTTGAATACTTTGAAATGGAAACCAAAAGATAAAAGATGGGGAAGAAAGAAAACGACTCCAGAATATCTCTGTTCTAGATCGTCTAGTTTATGTGTTAGCCAGCCCATCTCTCAGACTTTCAACCAGTAGAAAACATTAAAAAAAGATTTACTTCTGAGGTGATAAGGATAGCACATTAATTTTGGAATTTAATTAAATGATCTGGGGCAGAAATGCCTGTTCCTGGCAGATGTGCAGCAATTCTCACAGTGGTTACATGACCATAATTTCAAAGATTTTCAGAGTAATTAGATTTTTTTTGTAGTGGTTTTAAAGGAAACGAGAATGATCCTTTATTGACCCATAGTGAGAAAATGTAGCTCCAGATATCTGTCTTTAACAAATGTCCAAATGTCTGCTTGTTCCTTTAGATTAGAACAAGCTTGAACATTTCTTTTTTTGTTTTATTTTTGGAATTATGTGTTATCAGAATATGTGCATCTCGTGGAAATAAGTTCATGAATGTTTTTAGTTGTTTTCAGTGTATTCTTATGTCATTAAACAAGCGGCACGAGTAGAAATTCTATGTCTGAACATTTAGTATTTGAACACAGAAATGAAGGTGCAAATGTTATTAGCTTGTAACAACGAGGGAAACTTGCTGGGTTTCCGACTTGCAAGTGGAATGGACCATTACATCTGTCCCAGATTCAAACTCCCACAGCTGAGACAATCTGAACACAGCAAATGCAAATGGTGGCACTCAAAAGAACTCTTTGTTAGTTTCTTTCTATGTTATCTCACCCGAGTTATGAAAGTTTGTAAAGTTTGTTTTCGAGAGGGTAGCGTTTATCACAAAAGAGCAAAAACATCTCTGTAGGTGTAAACTACATTTAAAATAAGTTTAATGGCTATTAGCTTAAACTGTAAACATGTTTATAATGTCGATCTTTATAGACTATATCTACCATGTCATATCTGCAAAAGGCAAATTAGCTCTACCGAGTATTGCACGAAGGGGAAGGATTTAGGCGACAGGTCGATGGTACAGTATTTCCCCTCCTGTTTTAGAGCAGTCCAGCGCGTACAGTACAGGTTTTTCTTTGTGCTTAAAAAGACAAAAGCAGGTGCAACTGGCACTGAAACGATGAGCCAATGGGAGGACCCGCTTCAACAGTTGTGCACGAGGAGTCCACGCTCATTGGCCAACAGTTGTGGTGGGGGTGGAGTCGTATCGTTTGGTATAAATACTCCTACCACTGTTTCTTGCCTCGACTACAAACCGGCTAGGTGTGCTGGGTGTAGAAGGCTTACAAGCGGCGTGAAGCGCGGATTCCTACAGGTTGCCGCAACTTTTTTTTTTCTTTCTTTCTTTCTTTTTTTTTCTTTCTTTCTTTCTTTTTTTTTCTTTTTCTTTTTTCTTTTTTATTTTACCAGAGTCTACAGAGAGCGAAAATAAAACGGCGCCACTCCACTAGAGATTAGAGCGTGGTTTTTGGATGTCGGGGGGAACTGTTGAGCGCTTAGTGTAGTACTCTGTGTGCCTCGGTCTGTCTCTCCGGCTTGACCAATGCTCCTGCATCAGTACATGAACGGATCCCTGGAAGTCATGCCTCCCACACCGGTCCAGAAAGACACGACGTTCACCAAAATCTTCGTCGGCGGGCTGCCGTACCACACGACTGACGCCTCGCTCCGAAAATACTTCGAGGCTTTCGGGGACATCGACGAGGCAGTTGTGATAACTGACAGACAGACCGGTAAATCCAGGGGCTACGGCTTTGTAAGTATGAACAACACAAACACACGCTCATTTTTGCTTAGCTCTGTCAAACCTGTCTTTTTAACTTATCACACTAGTTTCTGTCAGTTTGTAAAAAAGTTGTTTTCTGGGTCATTAGCTAAAGAACACGTTTAAAGTCTGAAGTCACTCATGCAGGCTTAAACGCATAATTGCGCAGCATCTTTGTTTTTGTCTTGCCTTGTTGCCTGGTTGGCTGTTCTTTTCGATTAATTAGGATGAGGGATCACAAAAGTTGATGGGTAACTAAGAAGATTATATTTCAGCATATGTCTAATGTCCACTCCTCATTTATAACCCCCACCTCCCCTCAACCCTGAGCAGCCCCAGCTTATTGCTCTGGAAGTGTGTATTTAGTGTGTGTGTATGTCAGAGAGAGAAAGAGAGAGAGGCTGGACTCTTTGCTTGCTTTATATGGTTATTTCGGAGCAGTGGGGAGGTTGACCTTGCACACTCTTGCTTTCCATTGTCAGGAACCAGAAGACATGATTTACATCACAGTTCAGGCTGCTGAAAAAGGGACATTAAGATGCATGCTGGAGTTTTCAGAAAAATCTCTTCAGATGTAGTTTTTCCTACTATAGAACAACCTGTCATGGTCGGCTTAAATTATTTAATCGGATCAACAGCTGATCAACACAGAAATATTTGCAAGTGCTCTTCATTCTGACTCTGCATGCCAATAATGACCCCATCAGTTTCAATAAACTACTGCTGCCCAAATAATCTTAATCTTGGTGACCAAGTTTTTAGAACTGGAGATGGAAAATATGCAGGTTAATTATAATCATTTGTCATATACAACACAATTTCATGATCTTTATTTTTTTTCCCAATTTCCACCCTCATTTTGTACCACTACATTGCTGTTTTGTCCATGTTTACCTCTGATCTGTACCCTGTCCATGTGGTACCAGTTTGTTTGACTCTATAGTTGGGTATGTTGATGAATTACGAGCAGTCCTTTGAAAAATCAAATCTATTGTATGCTTCCATTGTAAATTTTCTGGAAACGCAGCAGACCTCCAGTAATCGTGGGGGGTCAAAATATTCAGTATCTGCAAATACGCAAAACCCACCCTACCAAAGCTTGTAGCTGAATTTTTTAAAATAGTTTGAACACCAAATGTACCTCAATATGCATTAATGCACACAGTGGAAACTAGGGCTGTGTAATAATATCGATTTTGCGATATCGATATTTTCTTTCCTAGAAAAAAATCGATATCCATCCACAAGTATCGTAACATCCAACTGTCACCTTGCTCACTCACTGCTTGCTTTGCTGGGAGAGTGATTAGGTCATCAGGCTTAGAGCGATTCCTTCAGATGTTAAGTGTCAAGGTTAAAAAGGTATCAAACTATTCAGAGCATGGTACCTGGTGCACTTTATTTACTTTACAAATGCATGTAAGCTCCAGTTTGTACTGTTTCAATTGAAAGAAACATGTTTTCTCACCACTTCTTTGATTCATTTTGTCCAGCTATCAACTTTAAGTCTGTGTCCATGTCCAACCAGAGCCAGGTATTGTGTAGTTGGTGCAGGTATTGTGTAGTTGGTGCTTTTAATCAGTTTTCAGTTAAATTAATTCAATCCAACCAACTCTATAACAGTCACAAAATGTCACCAAAATCACTCTGTCCCTCTAAAATCTTTCAGAAAATTGCAAAAGTGTATTGAATTGCATCGTTTGCTGAATATCGCAATATATATTGTATCGTGAGCAGAATATCGCGTATCATGAGATTAATGTATCACTACAGCCCTATTGGAAACCCTCTTAGCACTTAGCTTTGCTATTGGGGCTTCAGCCAATCAGCAGCAAGAAAAATAAATTGGGCGCTTGGATTGGCTGATTTGCAAAGTGTTACTTCGGCTATGTATTTCAGCTACCCAACCTGCACCTTTTGACTTTTTTAATAGAAAAATAAGCAACTTGGCAAATTATCTGCAACTAATTTGGAGATCATTTCCACAGGAAAGTCTGCGACTGGGTGAATCCACGAATACCGAATAGACGTGGCTCTGTGGTCCATGTAGTTTTGGTTACGCTCCCCTTTTTGGGCTAGTTGAGTCAATTGTGACAGGTATGGATCACAATCAAACCAAAACGGCAATAGGAGCAGAGTGAGTTCCTACTGCTTGATGTCGCTGAACTCGTTTAACCATGTTTACTTATGAGGAGACAGTTGAAAATGACGTTGGATCCTGATTCTCAAAGCAGGAATTAAAATCCTTAAGGTTGGACTCAACGGGATCTCTATGTCAATATCTAATAAAAGCTGCTGTCAAAATGGTTACTAATGCAACCTGATCAGGCAGATGTGTGAGTGTGATCTTTGTGATGCCGTCCAACCAAATGCTGACAAACGGGAACTATTTTTGTTTAGGGTTTTTCTTCTTATTTTTTTTTTTCAGTGAAATCCTGCTGAGGAAATCCATACTTCATTACCCAGCTTTCATGTCAACGTTTCATGTTCCAGTTTTAGAAACTGATTACGTTTTATTTGATCTAATCCCTCTGGACCAATGAAATCATCCTAGCATATTTAACTGCTCCTTATTATCCCAGTTCTTGGAGTTCTGTGGGAAAATGACTCTTGTTTATAATAACTTCGACAGCTTCTTCTTTTTAAAAACCAAACCCCACAATGTTCCAAGATTCTTTGCAGTACCGGGTTTTTATCTGCGTTAATAAGTGATTTATCCGGTCCCTGGGAGATAAAACCATAAAGAACAGAAGCAGCAGTTGGGGAGAAAAAAAAATGCAAATATTTACCAGAACTTTAGCAGAGACGCTTCAGCTCGGCTGTCTGATCGGGCCAAAGAAGGAGTGGAAAACGGAAAACCTCTAAGGGGGAATTGGAAGACAATTGTTCCTTGTTTACACGTAAGCTGATGAAAGTCGGAGGGGGAAGCCGTCCGGTGAGTCGAGCAGGTACCGACCGGGTTTCTGTCGGGGGGCCGGCGTTTCAGGTTAAACGGGCTTTTCGTCAAAGCCTCCAGGTTGCTTCCAGGGATTTTAACCTTACCGGTTTTCACTCCTGGGTCGCCTTTTGTTTTTTTTGTTTTTTTTCTTGTCTGACTTGAAACAAGAAGGAGCCTGAAGCTGAGTGCACTTTTTTTTTTGTCTTAAACACACTTCAGAGGTGGATTAGCGGACCACCACCTCCCAGCACCACCCTAACCCCACAGCAAGGCGCTTCACTGTAAACACAGCCTGTTTCCTTCCTGTGTGTTCACAACACACGCAGTGGGCTTTGCTCCCAATAAGCCTCACCGTAAAAGATGCAGAGTGTCCTCTGAAACTATTCAGCTCCATGTTCTCGGGTCGGGTCGGCTCACGTGCGGAGGAGGCCGAGAACTGGCAGGATGTGGCAATCAAAGCAGAAGGGCTCGTCTAATGCCAGGTGGAGCCGGGGGGGTGGACTAATACCAATCTCCTTATTTTGTTCCTAATTGGATAAGCTCCTTGTTGGCCAGATCCATATTTCAGCAGCTCTGCCCATGTCTGAGTGGCAACCATAGGCTGGCTACTGCTGCTGTGGGCATTTATTTATTTATTTTTGCCTCAGAGATAATTTTCATTTTTCTTTCTATGAACACGCCCAAACTAAGTGAGAAGATCAGGGTACACTGGGGTTTTTAATAAGTTGCCATTTCAAAACTACTAAAATCTGAACCACATCCTTCCTATGGCTTAAATTCAATCTGAGATGGCAGAAAAGGCACACTAGTTGTCAGCTGGCTGAAACAAAAAAAAAATGCTGTATTTTTGACAAACTGTGTCTTTTTTTGACAAATATCCAGCCATAAATAACCAGTTTTAGTGTAGAAACTAACGAAGTGCCACCCAACGCAATTTTCTAAACCGGTTGTCGAGCTAAAAGCAGCTGGTACCAGAGCAGTTAGCCTGATTTCTGAACCAGAAAATGTCAGCTTTTTTATTATTATTATTTTTTTTTTTTAACTGGTCTTTCTTAAAGTGGACCAGTTGAAATCCTGTTGCACATGTTTTGTTTTTATTTTTTTTATCTACGAGGCTAAACTGTGATTCATTAGTTGTTGCGTCTGTGGTTGCCAGGTGACGATGACTGACCGAGGAGCCGCAGAGAGGGCCTGCAAGGATCCCAACCCCATCATAGACGGTAGAAAGGCCAACGTCAACCTGGCGTACCTGGGCGCCAAGCCCCGCAGCCTGCAGACAGGTGAGACACAGAGGGGCTGCGCAGAGCTCAGGTTAGCTAGAAAGTAAAGGGGGGAGGGGGGAGGGACTCTGGACATCTTTGCAGACAGTGATGAGTGTTGAGTCTTAACAGTTCCACAATTTAACAATTTTCCAGTAAATATCTATGTTTTTAAATTCTTTATATAGGTTAAGTCAATGTATCATGACTATGGTAAGTAGAACAGATAGCTGTATATATAAAATACATGTTTTAATTCACAATAAAATGATTAAATGTGTAGTTATTCATAAAAATGTAAATTCATTTGGTTGAAATGATTATGCTGGTATTTAATGATGAAATATTTCCTGTGCTACAGAGCATGAATCTAAACAGTCACTGTGGTTTGTTAAATAGATCCTAGCATTTGATTGGCTAATCTGTGTGTTAATCTGCATGTTCAGCAGTGTTAGCTCTACACACTGAGACTGATCAAATAAATGACAATGTTCTGCAGCACAGGATAATGAAATAAGTCAATAAATACTGGAATACCTGCAATACATTTGATTTCGTCACAATAAGATCAAATTAATGATTTTAACATCTTATGTACTTTTTAATGAAATACTGAATTTTTAAAATCATTTTAGTGATTTATTGCAATGTGACATTTTGCAGGGTGTCCATGCATCCTTAAAAAGTCTTAAATTTATGTATCTAGAAGTAAGGCCTTAAAATGTCTTAAATGTATTTTCAGACATCTTTATTCCATGCGGCTATCGCTAATTAGCTAACATACTCTTGCTGGCCAGCTAGAGAACTGACTTTATTGCATCCATGCAATGGGTGCGTGCATTCTGCACAAAGCAAATTCTTTTGTACATTTCTGTCATGACGCAGGTCTTAAGTTTCACTTTTAAAAAGCCTTAAATATGTTGATGAAACCTGAAAACCCCTGTTTTATCCCATCAGTGCAGCAGGTAGGGGTGGGCGACATAATGGGGAACATAAAGTTTTATCACGCTATTTTGTGGAAGCATTGTGATGATGATCAAAGTAACAAGAACGATTTGTTGCTACGTTTTTGGGTAACTGCATGGCCGTGACAGCACAGCATCGATAGCCACACAAACGCTGCTCTTGGAAAAACACACCGTTTCTATAGGACACCGATCACATCCAGAAGTGTGATTTGCATCTGTAAAACGCACACAGTAACTGAATTTAATCATATTTGTTGATATGAAGAAAATGTCACATTGAACAAACATCGGAGAAAAACAAAACAGACAGAACCTATTGTGACTATTGTAAATCAAAAAATCTTGTACAAAATTTCTGCCGCTAAATGATAGACGTTACGATAAATGCTCATCGTCCCTAGCAGCAGGTATGGTGGAGAGGACAGGGCTGCTGGACGCCTGATTGCTAAAAGACTGGCTGTTTTACAGGCTAAGAGACAAACTGTTGCTGTTTTTAATCTGCCGGGTCACATGATCACAGCCTGCAGCTCCATCGAGGAACTTGCATGCCTCGGATTTATGCGACAAATGCCATGCAGCTCTGAAACAGCGTATATGTTTTCTTTGCTTGCTTTCTGGAACATTTGAAATATTTCTTCCATGGTAGGCTGGAAACAGGCCGTGCCTCTGTGTCTCTGTGCCCTCTGTGCATTGTTCTCTGCTCCTCCTCTGTAAATGCAGATGTGTGTCTGACAACCATCCTCCTCTCCTCTCTCTCTTCTCCAGGCATATCCATCGGAGTGCAGCCCATCCACCCGGCACTCATCCAGAGGCAGTATGGGTAAGTGAGCAGGGAGTGGGCGCATGTTATGCTCTCTGCTATTATGCCACCGGGCTGCTATTTCTTTGACAAAACGCAGCCTCTGGAAAGCACACGCCAGTTCCACTATCTACACGCAACTCCAGCCGCCCCTCCATTAGCATGCATCGAGTCCCGTTTGGGGCGAGGAGGCTGCAGAGATGATTCGCGTCTCCGTGGTAATGGAGGTGCGTTCCAGAGGTGAATGTGTGACTCACTCGTTGACCTCCGTCAGGGGCCTCCTGACTCGCGGTCCAGCCCGAGCGGGCTCCGTCACCGACGGGGGAGTTCTATCAGCGTTAGGGAGAATGGGTCGGGGTGGACGGAGGGGAGAAACTCCACAGAGTCTGGAAGCCACGGTCGGCCGAGCAGCTAACGACCATTTCACTGTTATGACTCTTCTGATTCCCCCTGCAGCTCTCAGATATCACGCTTCAAGCTGCAGCCCAAGGCCTGTTTGGATTTTACATGCACAGCCTCCTTTTCTGTTAGTAGAACAGGAGTTCAGGAAGTTAGTCTGAGTGAGTTGTTTGGCATTTGTTGCTGTGGTTGCGTGAAATTCCAAGTCTCTTACTCCGCAAGCAAAAGAAGTTAAACAGTAAGAGCTTAGTTACTTATCAGTATCAAGCTTAAATGACTATAAACGTCTTCTAAGATTCAGATTTTCTTTTTTGTTGTTGTTGTTTTTATTTTTCTGGTTGTAGAGTAAATGAATTTAAAATTTAGCAATTTAGTTTCAAATTAATATAATGCCAAACATCATCTTAAAAAAATTTCATCTCATCAAAATGCAGGGTTTGACAGGAAATGTGAAAATATCACTTGGTAGTTATGCGTTATTGGAAGATCAATACCTAAACACCAACTATAAAGTCTTTAAAGAGGTGTCTCCGCCTTTTTAAAAAAATAAAAAATAGAACTAAAATAAATAAACACAATTTATGTAGATTTATAACAGAGGGCTCTATTTAAGGTGTTTATTTCTGTTCATCTTGATGATCATAGCTTGCAGCGAATGAAATTTAGAATATTACCGAAAAACAATTTGTTCTAACTCTGAGGAGTTGGTTTCCAAATGAAGTGTAAAATTTACTCTGAAAAACCGACTTTGGACCACTGAGTCACAGTCTGGTTCTTTTCTGTAGTTCAGAAGTGACTTAATCTCTACAGAACCGCTGAAAGGTTCTGATTATCCCTTTTGCTCCTTCCCCTCTGCTTCCCACCAACATGGCTGGATAAGCACCTTCAACAACCAGCTTCTTTACCGAAAACATTTTTGCGGGTTTCCCTTCCTGTGGATGGTGTGGGATAGTAACTCTTCCCCTTAATAAGTTATTAATTTTATTTATTGTAGAGTGTAATAACCAGAATTTTTGAGAAACTTGAATTTTGGTTGTCGCTGCAGCCTACAATTAGCAAAGTTAGCTAAAATAAACACTTTAATATGTCACACCGTGTGAAACCAGCCTGTAATATTTATACTCCCCCTTTTCTGAATACAGAGAAACGAAACGTTTTGATTTCTATTGAGATGGTTGTAGAAATGTCTGATGAAGAGCTTTAAAAGGATGAGATGTTCATAGAATTCCACAAATAAGTAAAATTAGAAGAAGAAGAAGAAAAAAAAAAACTTGGCCACATTTTCGTATCTGCTTAAATTAGCTGGAGTCCCACTAGGAACATGTCCCATCATGTTCCAAAACCCCAGGAGGGGGGACAAAGGAAAGTCCCGTCCATGTCAACGTCCCGCCGGTCCAGAGAGGGTTGGACAAACCCTGAATGTTTCCTGTGTTTTGCTCGGCTGCTGTCTGAGGCGTGTGCCCAACAGGTGCTGCTCCCCTCCACCCTCGGTAACTCCACCCTCCGTAATCTCCTGTGACCACCGCCCCTGAGACGTTCCGAGGCTCGCCCAACACCTGTCCTCCTGAGGTTCCTCTGCATGGCTCGAGTGTCGGATACGGACGTTGCTAAGATGCAGATTGCACGCGGGGGGGCTTTTCTTCCCCTTCCCCCCAACCCCACGATGCCTGTGGACATATGGCGGGAGGAAGACGGGGTGTTGAGCAGGATTTGGAGCTGTGCGCTGATGCTGCATGTACAGACTACTGTGGATAAGGTGTGGACTGTAGGGGCGGGGTGGGCCGACGGGGGTCACCAGAGCTGCGGCCTGCGTATTTACAGGGAGGGGACGAGTCGGCGTCGGCCTTTGCAGACGACTCATCTCTCGTCACGGATCGACTCCTTCCCTCCATCCTGTTGGATTCTTGCCACTGTTTTTTCTTCTTCTTCTTTGTTTTTCTTCTTCCATTAGAGTCCTCCCTCCATTTCTGAAAACCGACACCTCTGTGAGACTTGGAGGGGGATTGAGAAGTAGAATCAAAAAAGGGGGGGGGGGGCAGAGTTAGATCCTCTGACTTGATGTTTAAAGAGGCACTTCCATGGTAACTCGCCTCTACAGGTGTCAGATAAAACACCTTTGTCCCTCCCATTCAAAGACCCGTTGCAGTTGTTTGGGGGTTGAGACGTTTTAAGAGGTGGGCTTTACCTCATCCACACCAACCCAGTTCAGTCTTGCCTGGTTTCACACTTCACGTCGCATCGAGTCATGCACTGGAGTTCATCCGTGAGATATTTAGCTGCTTGGTGCGACGTCTCCCAGGCGTTTTTTTTTTTTTTTTTTTACCCCCAGCAGCTCATTATGTCATTGACGAACGCTCCAGCCTTTAGACTGGTCCGCTCTTTGCCAGCCAGCGTTTTCTGGCGAGCCCGTCTCTCCGGTGTCCCGGCCTGCCACTCAGCGCCCCGCTATGACCGGCCGTCAGCAGAAATCCAGCTGACCAACGATATTCCGGCTGTCATCTACAGCCTCTCTTCCATCGTTTTTATTTATTTATTTTCCTTGTTTACGCAGCGTGCTTGGCATCTCTGCTGCCCTCTGGACTCGCTGTGATCCCAATCCCTGCTTTTTCTTCTCGTCTTTTATTCCTGCACCAGAGCAGCGGTCCACCATCATCCTGTCTTGCGCGAGGTTGAGGTCGTTTAGAGTTGGCGCGAGGGATTTCATGCCTCGCACCCAATGATGTGCAGTCGTCTCCCAGGGCTGAAGTGAGGATGAAGCTCCCCAGTTGTGGGATTTTCACTTCCTCTGAAGCCCCTATTGTCCATAGCCTCTATGTTCCCTTCACTTCTCATTTACTTTTGTTTAGTACACAATTAAAATGTTCATGCACTGTTTAACACATCCTTGTTTTTTGTTTTATTTTTTTTTGCTTTTGTAGATTTTTACATGAGGATTCAAGGTCTAACTCTCCTTTCAGTTACACGAGGATTCACGTTGACCCCAATCCTGTTTTTTTTTTTTTGCAAATTAATCACTTTAATTTCATTTTTATGCCACGGTTGCCCTCTGCTGCCAGCTGACCAAGTGCACCAGTTCAGGATCAGATGATGCCCTCAGTTCGGGAAAATATCTGCCCACACTCTCCTGCCTCCCCTCAGCCAGCCTCTCTACAAGGTGCCAGTGACGGCTTGAGAGTGCAGTGCAGTGTGCTGTGATGGACTGGAGTGTCTTATCTTTTTTTTTTTTCCCTCTCCTGTTTGTGTGATATGAACTGAAGAGCTTATGCTGATTTGCGGTGTGTCTCTTTCCCTATTATGGCATGGTTTGGGGGTTTGCAGTGGTAACTGGTGTGTGAGCAGAGGTAACGGAGCGTGTTTGTGTGCGTAGGAAGTATGTAAAGTGAGTACATCCTTATCCAGCGTCTTGGAAGTTTCATACTCGTTGGCATTTTTCACATCTTGTTGCATTACGGCCACAGGCTCCAGTGGGTTTTATGTGATGGACCAAACTGATATTCTGAAGTGGTGGGAAAATGATACCAGGCCTGGGCAATGTGGCTTAAAAATAAAATCTGATTTCTTTCAAATCAAATCCAATTTTATTTCTTGGCTTCTTTTCCTGAAAAGAAATGATGAATGACAAAAAAAAAAGTTAGTAGATTATTATTTATTTTTTCATTTTCAATCATCCCCAATCTGTGAGTTGACCTGAATTTTAAATCCAAATAAATAGCTGTAAAACATGTTTGACAAAGAAAATGGTAGGCATTGGATGTGATGACATCACTCTGAACTGTATTTCCTATAATTTCTATTTTTATCACCCAGCCCTAGTTGACACATTTTTCTTTTTCTTTGTCCTCATCTGAGCAGAACACCACATTGTGCCTGCTTACTGCGTCCCAGGCAGACTGCAAATGGACATTTTGGTTTATAATCATAAAAAAAAAAAAAATGGATATGTGGATTCAACAATTGGATTTAAAACATCTGAAACTCCTCCAGAGTGACTGTGTGCCTCCTGGCTGTTTCTCTGACTATCACTATTACCACTACTTTGTGTTGGTCTACCACCTAAAATTCCAATAACACACTGAAGTTGCTGGTTGTAATGCGACGACATGGAAAAAGACCAAGCAGAATAACTTCACAAGGCGCTGTACATGCATGCTTTGATTTCATAGGCGACTTTCATAAGCAGTATTTATCCAACGGGAACTGTTTGCAACGGCAAAACGGTGAAACTGAGTTGACTTTGATGGTTCCTTGTATGTAACCGAAGTGTGACATTTTGCCTTTCTAGCCCTGTGTTGTTTTTGCTCAAAGTCTTTAATGTCGAGGGTTGAAGCTGTCTCTAGAGCCAGATCCGTTAACTCCTTGATATGCAGCGTTGGTCAAACCTTCCTGTTTTGTTGGGGGAGTAGGAATGGGGAACACTGTTTATATTTTAATCTCACCTGAAAAACATTTCTGTCTTCTATGGATAAACGCTGTTCATCCACACCAACCAGTCCCACCCAGCAGCCCTGATCAGCTGCATCTGAGCCGACCCATGAGGCTCGGTAGAACCCGCCTCCCCCCCCCCCATTGGCCCTGATCAGTTCCCCAGCCACCATCATCACCTGTGTGGGTGTGGGTGTGTGGCAGGCAGAGTTACAAACTGATTGAGAACTAAAAGACTCTAACTTCTGCCCTCCCTTAAAGCACTTCTGCTTTTTTGTTCCTCCAGTCTCTCTCTCTCTGTGTGTGTGTGTGTGTGTGTGTGTGTGTGTGTGTGTGTGTGTGTGTGTTCAGAGGGTGAAGAGCAGCAGCTGTTAAAACACTGCTGATGCCTGAGCTTGAAAAGCTGCCAGTAACGGCTGCCTCTGTCATTCACCCCCCTCCCTACTTGTTCCTTCTCGTCTAGTGCAGGAGGTCTGACCCAACAGGTTTGGTGGTGGTTGTTTTTTTTTTTTTTTTAACTCACTGATTTACACAGAGAATTGAGTCACCTTCGATACTAACCTCTTTGTTTAATTGTTTCTAGGGCTATTTGATTTGATTTGATTTTTTTTTTTAAATCGGTTAATCGTTTGGTTTTTGAAGGTTTAAGTTTTGGAAAATGATATATATATATATATATTTTTTCCCCACCAATCTGCTCTTTGTTTCCGTCGTTCAGAGTGATGTCAGCATGCGCAGGATCACGATCTTGTTTGGTAATCGTGTTTTGATTCTTCTGTTTATTTGGACATTGAATTCAGGTCCACCCTACAACGAAATATTAGAGCCAGGCTAAGAATTTTATTTTATTTTTTTAATTACCACAATAAAGTCCTAAATATGAAAATGAGAACTGTTGGACACCTGATGAAGTTATATTTTGGTATAACTTCATCTTTTAACGCGTCAGAATCAAATTATTATGAGTAACAATTCTTTGAGATAATCCAACAAATGACTATTTCCAAGAGACGCACAAACCGAGCTGATTGGATAAGTACGCTTTTTCTTTTCTCATTTAAACAATTTTTCGCACAATTTTACGTAGTTTTTTTGTGAAATTCTTTTTTTTTTTTTTCCCTAATATGACTGTTATTCCCGTAGCCTGGCCCTAATTGTCAGTTGGAAAATATTTCCTGTTGTTTCTTTTTTTTAATAACAGAGCAAAAATAATCAATTGACTTCATATCTGTTATTTAAAAAAATGTTATTTTTAATCCATATCGCCCAGCCCTACCTGCTCCTCACATGACTATCTTAAGTTAGTGATGGTAACAGAGCTGAGTGTGAGGCTGGGTGTTCAGAGGGTTTGTATTCCTGACGCATCTCCTCCTCTGAGAGCGACGTAAACGGTAGAAACCAGTCTGGGTTGGGGGTTTCTCCACCCCTCTAACCCCCCTCTCTGCCTGTGTCTGTGCAGGTTGACCCAGCCGTACATCTACCCCCAAGCGTTTGTGCAGCCCAGCCTGCTGCTGCCCACCCAGGTGTCGGCTGCCTCGGTCGGCACCAGCCCCTACCTGGACTACAGCTCGGCCTACGCCCAGTACGCCCACGCCGCCTTCGACCAGCAGTACCCCTACGCCGCCTCCCCGGCCGGCTTCCTGGGCTATGGCTACACCACCAGCCCCACAGCGTCCGCCGGCCCGTCCGCCGCCGCCACCACGGCAACAGCCACCGTGCACCCCACCTTGCCCTCCGCCACCGCCCAGGCCCCGACCTTCCTGCACTACGCCCCGCAGCAGCACATCCAGCCAGAGAGGATGCAGTGAAGTCGGAGGAGTCGACGGGGGGAAGACGGGGGGGGCAGGAAGTGGAAGAGGACAAAAGAGCAGACCCCTGTAGGGTACCACCGCTGTCGTCAGCAGCAGGTTTCAGGAAAAACGATGTTGGGATTATTGCACTATACGACTAAGACGGGCTGCTTGCTCATTGGTACAAGGGGAGAGAGGACTGCTGGGAGTTCAGGAGGGGAAGCCGAACCAGCATACAGTATGTGGTCGCTTCCCAGGGCTTCCAGAACATGACACTTCATTTTTTATCATCATTATTATTATTATAATTAATATTATTTTATTGTTCTCTATTATTGTTGTATTATTAATGTCTTTGTCACTATTTGTTTGCCATTATTACCCATGTTGGCGTCGTTTCGTAGCTCAATCAGCAGAGGTCACGCATGTCCTTGCTAGATATTGATATTTAGTTTAGTTTTTTTTTTTTTTTTTTTGGTTTGTTTTTTCTCGGAGCCCAGAGTGTCTTGGCTGGACACGGCGGACATTCTGAAGATGCTGAGGGACGTTCATGTTAGTTCTTTTTATTTAATTTTTTTTTCTTTCCGACGGTGGCGATAGAGAAACGCAGCAGAGCTCTGCCTCACCAACAGACTTCCACAGCGCAGGAAAACCAGGAGAGATTTCAACTCAGAGAAGCGACTGCACAGCTTTTTTTATTTTTATTTTTACACCCCAATATTTGATTTCAAGAGGCCTTAATAAATAAATACAAAACAAAGAGAATCTCCAGATTATTTTTGCCTGTGCCTCTCCACTCTAAGCCAAGTTTAAGGATGTAGAGCCCCTTTTGTAACCGAGCTGACTTCAACTCGATGTAGATAATCATAAACCGTATCGAGGAGCTGTGTGTATCGATGAGGTCGCTGACACTGAGCACAAACACCAGTGTTTTTTTATTTCTGTTTCTGTACTGAGATGGTCGGACTGTTGCTCCATGTACAGCACATTCAGATGTCATCACGTGCATTTTTCAATATTTATACGTAGGTATTTATAAGAGGTACTAAGTTAAAAAACAACTTTTTTTTTTTTTCCTTTTTGCTTAAATTTGTTGTGATTGTAGTTGTGACACTGACGTCGTTTGCTGCAGATCCACAAAGTGTCGTCGTTCTTTTCATCATACTACCAGTGGATCTTTGACTGGGTTCATTGGAAATTCTTTTTATTTTTAATTTTCCAGTAAGATTGTTCTTTACAATCCTTTCAAACAAGCCATAAAGAATAAAAATTTCTACTCAAGATGCCCTCTGGTGTGTTCTTTTTCGTTTTTTCCATGATAAAGGAAACAAAAGCCACATAGACTATGTAAATAAGTAAAAATAGTGCAGCTCAACAATATTGATAGAAAAATGCACACCTTTTTTAGAGCAACAGAAGCATAAGGACTTTGCTGGTTGATTAGTCAGGCTAAGCTAACCTGCTGTCTACTGCTTTACACATTATGCAAGCTTATCTTCTGGAATTTTAATAAAAGTTTATAATAACTTTTAGCTTCTACACTAACTGCCGGTGTCTTTAGTGGTGGCAAATATTTCATAACAGCTGAATTTATCACGCAGCATGCTGTCAGTGTGCAGCAACAGGTGGGGGAGGGGCGCTAATATTATACTCTGTCAACCATAGAAAACTCCAGTGACTCCAGCTCAGCAGAACAGGATATTTTAACTACTTTGAAACTAATTTAAAGGTATTAAAACCCTCGGTACACTGTAGCAGCAGTGTGTGTTTCCTGCTGCTCCTCCTGGGATGTTGCTGTGAGAACTCGGAGAGGTTACAGGGAGCAGTTAGTTATACGTGTTTGTTATCAAGGCTGTCGGGAGCAGCACATCAGCCAGGGGGAGGGGCCTAGACCCTTTTTATCAAGCCACAACACCACCACCACCTGCCAGGGAGGCTGGGTGTTCCCTTGGGCCAGCACATGACGTGGTTTTGGTAGCTTATTGAGACGTTTCTGGGAATAAGGAGAGTCCTAGTAGCAAAGTTAAGGGTTCATCTTTTTAGACTCTCTAAACCCAGATTAGTTGGTCGCAGACACTGAAGGGTAGTATTACAGGTGATTAAAAAAAATTAATTTTATTTTTAAATTTACCCCTCCTTACATTTTTACTTCATGGAAAGACTTTTTCATGTTCTGTTCTGAGTATTCATGAAGGAGTAAATAATGTCTTTAGAAATAACGGCCCAAGTCAGAAATGGTATAGATGGTTGTAAAATAGCCTTTGGGTAAACCGCAGCGACGTTTTTACATCTTTGGTAGGATTGAGCAATAAATCATAAACAATGTGATAAACATGATTGAAAATGTCCAATAAAACTAGGCCAGTTGGATCAACAGTTTGCTTTGGTTACCTAGCAACAATCTTGTTAATGTGCACCGCAGTAGCTTTATGCTTTGCCACCTGCCTCGCCTGCTTAAAAAACAAACAAAAACAACAACGGTGTGGAGAGAACGGACTATGTAATTAATTTGGCAGTTTTGTAGATATATTTCAAACAAAAAAAATTATCTATTGGCTGACACTAAACATATTGTGACACGTTGTTCAGCCAGGCCATAGCCTGGGGTCTCTTTCTCTCGAGCTAGCCGTTAGCTTCTTCACCACAAGAGCAGCTAGTTTGGAAATGTGGAAAGCTATTTATTGCAGATAAGAACGGAATTTTACTTGAAAAACCACAAACTATCCATTTAAAGGCATGTTACCCCGAGCTTTATGTAAAAGTCTTTTCTTTCACTCTTTCTTTCCCCCACATTGCCAAACCAGCTAAGCTGGCTCAGTTTTCCCCAGCAGCGCTTTTACATGTTTGTGCTTACATCAGCTGCTTCACAAAACGTGTCACTTCAGAGTCCTTCTCTAAGCCTGCAGAACACAACAGAGACAAGGACAAAAAGCCCATCCATTATCTTGTTGTTCCTCTCTTTAGCTTTAATTCATCTACTTGGTAATGATTTACAACACAGCTTTAAACTGAATAGATGTTTTTCTAAAATGCTTTTGGTTTTGATTGAACTTCATGAATAGCTTATTTACTCTTAAGAAATGTTCCACTTGTTACACAGACATGTTTCTCTTAAGCCCCGTCCTTAGTGGGAGCTTGAGTTCACAAGGTTGTTTTAAACCAGAATTTTATTTTCACTTTAAGCATCGAGTTTTAAGGTATCAATTTCTTGCCATTTTTCTCTTAAGGTGGGGATACATGCAAAGGAACATGTCTGAACATGCATCCCAGAAATGATTTAATCAGACTACAGTATGAGGCTTTCCAAGGAAACATTGAATGGCTTTAGTCGTTTAAAGTGTGGGAAGGTTGAAAACAAGAAATTCCCAGATACATCACAACCAGTCGGAGCAGTAGGATGGCGTACAGTCTGGGAGGATCGCTGTACCTCCTATGTTCCTCAAACCAGGAAGCAATAATTGCCTTTGGATTATATTTCATCATGCAAAAAAGGGGGCTGAATATGAATGTAAATTAGTGATATTTGACTACACCGGCTTTGGGATCAGATGACATCACTGCGTGCAAGAGCTGAGCAAGATTTAAGTAAACAAAAGAGATCTTGGTGGGATTTCTAGACATTTCTCTTTCTGGATGTCCAGCAGCTTTGCTACAGTATCTTGCGAGAGTATTCATACCCTGCCAGTTTTTTCATATTTTGTCAAAGTATTTAATTGACAGAGCAACACAAAGTGTGGTGGAAGAAAAATCGTGTGTTTTCTGAATGAAAATCTCAAAAGTGTGGTGTAAATTTGTATTCACTTATTACATGGGAAAAATGTTACAAGTGAAATAATCTGCCAGTGGAACAACTAGCTTTTCAACAATATGAAGGAATTATTGACTGTGCTGTGAAGTTACTTGTAAGTTAGTTTTGTCTTATTTTAAGTAAGTTATTTGCACTACAAACTCAACCTCCCCAAAAAAATACGTGGTAAGATGTTGTGTTTTTGCAGTGACTGAACAGTAGATGGAGAGGAAATAGGTTGGAGAGACAAGAGGAAGATAGAAAGCAAATGGTCTCAGAACGGGAATCGAACCCAGGACCACCACATCGAGGACTACGGCTTCTTTTTTTTAAATTTTTTATTGTTCAAAATTTTAAGTCCAATTTTGGAATTGGACTTAAAATGAAGTCGTTATGAAGCATAACAACATCATTTCAAAGTCGTTATGCACTACTTTGAAATGAAGAAATTAAATACACGGAAGCTTGCGGCAAAGTGTGACAAAAATGAGAAATAGATCAAGGGGTTTGAATATTTCCGCAAGACCCTCATGATGAGTGTCAAGCAAGGTAACATAAAAGCCACGCTCCATCGCAAATTTTCCAAAGTGTTTTGACATCGACATGATTCGGTGCGTTTGTGTTTGGAAGAAGACATGTTCTCCACTAACTTAAGGAAAAATAAATAAATACAACACAACAACGGTTTTGATGGAAACCATGCCGTGTGTTAGGAGGACATGCTGCAGGATGCCAACACCAAAGGACAAGCTGCATTTTAAATATAGCTGAATCATGTCACAGTTTTTCCAAACACTGGTGCTCAGCAGAATGGATGTCTCCGCTGCTGCTGCTGCTTGCTGGTGTTTACTGGATGTCAGTGAAGCGAGGCGGCTCTGGTCCTCCTCTTGTCCTCCTCTCGTTGTCACTGTTTATCTCTCGCTATCTCGCCCCACGCTCTCTGTTTGCTCTCCCTCTCTCTCTTGTCTTTCACACACATTTGTTTACTTTTTCCCCCTTCTCATTTGTGGCTTTTTCTTTTTTTTTTTTTTCTTACTGCACATCTGCACTCCTGCCTCACCCTCTAGTTGCTCCTTTCTCGCAGTTTTTTTTTTTTCTTTTTCCCTTCTGGTGAATCACAGGGCAGAAACAGAACCGGGTGTCAACTTGATGAACGAGGTCACACGCAGGCCCAGCAGACCGTGTTAAATGCTGGGTCATCATAAAGCCTCTCTCTCTCCCCCACACCCTCCTCTCCCACCCCATCTTCACTTTAACATGCACATACAAAGTAGGCACGGCCGAGTCTCACTCCCTGCTCACATCTCGCTCTGTCGTGTAACTCTGACGTCCGGTGGTCCCTCAAAAACATCATCGCTCCTTATCAACCGGCAGCTTAAGTTTAATCACGGCAACCTGCTGGAGATAACCTCTTGTTTCCATGATGTCAAACACTTGCATCAAAAAAAAAAAAAAGAGACTGTCCTTTGCAAATGGTTATTATATTTGTGAAGTGAGAAACAAACTGGAGAAGTTCTGCTTCTTGATTTGATGTAAACCTGAAGCCAGGGCGGCAGCTAACGATTAATTGATTAATCGCATAAAAAATTGACATATTCTGCCGGGTTTTTTTGTTTTTTTTTATTTCACCACCTTAACATATTGTCTTCTGATATTAGAAATAATTTTAAAAATATACTTTTCAAGTGCACTTATATATAAGTATAATTTTATTTTTAAAATAAGGTAATAAACATTTAAAAATAAATGCTAACATGCTCAATTTAACATCAAATCTGTTGATTTTTTTAAATTAAAAGGTTCTTAAGAGTTTTTTTGTTGTTTTTTTTTACAGAATTGGGTGAAGCTTAAATTAAATGTTTGAGGATTTTTTTTAATCTTAAATGCAACATACATATATTTTTCTACAGTTTTGGCTTAGTTATTGCTCTATGTTTTTCATCAAATAGCCTTTTTTGTCTGCATTCTCTAGA